TCATTCCACATAAGCAAGTGTCGACTTTTGAGAGAGATCGCCAGAAAAACTGCGTCAATTGTGCAAAGATTATCAAAGCCGACTTATTGAATGTTCAGATTTCTTGGAAAATATTTCAAAGACTCTTAATTTTTTGTAAATAAAAACTTTTTTCCCTTCTTTTTTATTTTTATTTTTTGTAATCGTTTGTTATTTGTTTTGTTTCATTTTTTTTTAATCAATGTTTTTCTTCAAGAGCTCGTGTACTTCCCTCAATCAGTAGCAAAGTAATGAAGTTCAACCAGCGGCGATTACCAAAGACTACCAGTCCTGAAAAAAAGTTCGGGCGGGGCTTTCGTTACAGCTTTGCGCGGGTATGGCGGGGATTTCGTGTCAGGGCTATTGTCGCGCGGGGCTTTCGTCGCGCGGGGACCCCGTTACAAACCCAGAGTTGGCGGCACAAGCCATTTTTATTGGGGAGAAGAACGAAGAAATACTGGAAATTTTGATTGGTGATATTCTGGTCATTAAATTGCTTCAAAAATGAGCTAACAGGATTATGAACTTGAGGGTGCTCAAATAGCCTTTCACATTTTTATTGTTTTTCTCTTTTCCTCGACAATGAAATATAATTGCCAAGATGAGGCCTCCAGAATTTTCGAGTTTTGGAGAGTTGAGGAGGAAAAAAAAGGTAAGGGAGGTTTTCAATGCATTGTTTCGAAAGGGAATTCGGGCAGGAATAAGGGGTAAAATTCCACTTAGTCATTTTCAATTGAAAGATTTCAAGTTATCAACGTTCAATTGAAAATGACTACAGGTATCTCCGAATCGTCCGGTTGATTGTGTTGGTAGATGTCGCCAGCAGTCGAATTTACATACAGTATCAATGTACCCTGAATGAATTTAGACGTTTCGTGTGGTGAAAAAGAGTACACGAGGTTTGATGGTTTTCCAAATGTGAATTTTGTAGAACGAAGAACACAGTTGTAAGTTTAGTCTTTTCCTCCGGATTCTGAAAATTCTTCATATTATTTTTACGCATTCAAGTTTATCTATGCTCCGCGTCATGCATTCCATCCGAGAAAAGTACGCGAGAACATTTGACATCTTCATATTCCGAAATGAATTCTGCGAGGAGTATTTTCTCTTCGGTCGATTATTCAACTCTTTTTTTTCTCTCTCTTGACAGGAAGCCGATGCACTGGAAACTCTGCCACTCGTAGCCGAGGACTGTGGAGAAGACGAAAGTGATTTTGAGTTCGAAGACAAGATCGAACGAGGGATCGCAGACTTGCGAGGGATCGTCGGAGACGAGGTCAACATCGAACGCCTACGTGAAGTTCTTTTGGCGGCCGACTTCGATCTCACTCGGGCCGTGAACTACTTTTTCCATCCGGATCCTCCTTCTTATTGACGCGAAAGGAATGAAACTCAACCTATTTACTCGAATATAAGATGCCGTCGATAATATGACGTGCCTTTATTTTATATTTTGCGTGCCTGCGAATATTTTCCACATTGTCAATTTTTTCTGATTCAATTCGTAGGACTTTTGATTCTATTCTGGATCAAGGTACCTGATGCTTATTCTTCTAAAAATCTTGCTAAAGAATCCGAGAGAACTGTTTCACCCTTGAACTGAAATTGGTTGCGAGTATTACATTGAATTCGGCAATCGATTTATTCTGAATCACTTCGTCTTAATCCTGTTCATCAGGTACCTGATGCTTAATCTTCTAAAAAAAAACTGTGGAAGAATGCTAGTGAACTGTTCATCTCTTTTACTCTTGAACTGAAATTGATTTCGAGGATTAGATTAAATTCGACAATTTAGATGTACCGTAATTTCGAACTCCGTAATCCCTTTGGATGCTTCCCTTTAAATATTCAAAGTTCATTCAACTTTAACGCCGAAGAATGTGAAGAGCTCCTGTCACCGTTTTCTCGCAAATTACTTGAGTGCTTTGATTAGAACTTTTTTTTTAGCGATTTTCGAACACGAGTTGGCGGTAAAAGGCCATCAAATTCAAGACTTCATCGTCTGTGTGACGCAGCCGGATTTTCTGAATCAATATATTGGCATAAAACGTTCGTCTTATATTTGAGTAAATAAGGAATTTCGTTTTGTATGTCGCTGAATGAAGTGAGCGTCTGTCGTCAACTCGGCTTCGAAGATTGTTTTCGATTCCGCAATGGATGCTTTTTTTTCGCGGATATTCCTGCATTGTGCGGAAACATGGATTCCATTCCATCGAGTATTTCCCTTTCAGAATGCAATAATAATGTTTCATGCTTGTCACTGCAGTGTTTCCACCCCTCGCTTTTTGAAGGATTTCCTGCTGCAGCTTGTTGAAGCTTTTTGAGTTAGCCTTAAAAATCAGGCTGACTGTCTCATCCTGTCATTTATACAGTTCTGTATCACGTTCAACGAGTCAATTTTTGCTGAAACCAAGGTTGGGTTGGAAATCGGTGTTCATCACTTTCAGTATGATCAGCTCAGCTGCGAAATTTGCGTTAAAAAAAACTGTATTCACGGTTTGTGTGCCGTAGAGGAAATTTTAACGTGGAAATTCGGAATATTTTGTTTTTCAATCTTGTTTAACTGGGCGTCGGTTTTTTTTTTCAGTGTTATCCAGTTTATTCTCATGAAGTCATGAATTGGTGTGATAAAAATCGATGTGAGTCCTACGCCAAAGTTCGCGCGAGATTCGGAGTGTGTGAGGAAATTCAAATCCAGTTTTGTTATTCGGTCACTCACAGGTTATTGTGTGAGTGAATTCCGTTGACTCGTTCGGCATTACATTTGACGGACATATTTGAATCGCATGTTGTCTCATTCATTATTTACTCAACTAGAAATTTTCAAATGCTTGCGATTGCTTCAAATTACGTTTATGAACGTGTCTGCATGCGTAGGGATAAAAATTTAGCTCGATTAGTAAGAATTTTTTCAAAGAAGCGCACTGTTCTTGATGCAAGTTGAGTTTTTTTTTTACAGGGATATGTTCTCAAATTCATTCAGGACTCTTTTTTTTTCACATGTCCACTGCTGATGCTGAGTCTCTGCGTACGTTGATGCCTCAAATAAGAAAAATCTGGTGACAATACATTTTAAGAGTAAGAAAAAACGTTCAACTTAATTTTATATGTTTCTTATGACAAAATCTCCTAGCCGTTATATAATGGAACGCTTGTAATACGGAGTTTCGAAATTTCCTCAAAATTTAGGAAAAAAAAAGGTTATCATTGCCATTTGAATTAAAAACAAATTAAATCTCGAAATATTAAGGATCACTTCGCTGTTCCAAATCAATTTTATACTATCCCAATAATAATTCGTTGAAAAACACAGCAGGGCGGTTCTTGGTGAAGTGTGACCGTGATTCGGAATAATGCGCGTATGTTGTGTGATCGCCGGTCCGGAAAAGATGTCAATTTGTGATTCTATCTTATATTTTCAACAAAAATCAGGCTCATTCTACGATGAAATGTTTGGTTAACAAAACTCTTTTGAATCATGACAAATATTTTTCTAGCTTATATTGGTCCTGGCAGTTTTTCTTGAGGCAGAATATTAAAAAAAAGTAATTTTAACAACTTCCTTTTTAGGCTCTACAATCTCAGTACAGTATAGCAAATGTTGACGCTGATCCATGTGATACAGGTCACACAGAAATTTTGTAAATGGCAGAAAAAGTAAAAAATGGAAATGGAGCAGCATTCCGATTTCATCTACAGTATACGAGTTGAAAACATTCTGTCAAGAAATAATTAACTTAAAAAATACACCAGGTGCTGAAGGATTTCTTGGAATTGTTTAGCTTGATTTCAGAATGTATGCCTTCCATTAAAATAAAAAGTATGTTGAAATCCATTTCCTCGATTAGAAAGAATTAATATGAATGACGTGGGAAAGGTTTTGAATATTGCCCCTTTTAGATGAATTATTACTAGTACGTCACCGTTTCCCACAAAATTTAAATCCAAAATGCATTACGAACCGGCCATGCTGAATCCCAATGAAACGAATTTTTGAATTACTGCTGTACTGTAAAACGATTTTTGAATTAGGTGTCAGGGAGTTCGTTATACCAAAATGTTACGGTGTCTAACTGAGAATAAATCGATCAAACTATATACCGCGTATATATTAGTTCTACCGTGCTGCATCCGTGATGCGCAGTTTTGGATTTTTGTGCTTCTCCGCATTTGAAGAAAATATTTTTCATATACAGTATTTAAAAAATGCCATGATTAAAAAATGGCTTTCAATTAAGGAAAAAAATTTTCAAATTCATTTGCATCGTAAAAACTGGCTCGCTGAATTCGATTGAGTTGATATATCACCATGCATGAACGAGAAACCCGTATTATCTTTACGTATAACAGTGATATCAAACTCAAAAGACGATCGACGAAAAACTGGGTCGTAAGCTGAATGTAATCGATAAGGTACCCCATACAGTAACGACACCTAGAAAGACCTTAGCGAAGCTTTAATTGAGGTCCAATCGACCCAATGACGATTAACCTGAACAGTCAGACAAGGCAGGAAATGGGATGCCTTGCAGAACGCGACCAGCGGTCTTCAGTTCACTCCGAGCCCTGCTTCGATCGACAGCAAACTCGATCTGATTTCGTGTAGGTCGTGATGATGTCAGAGCTTATGATGTGACGCATGCTGTAAATGATTGTGAATCGTTGAGAACAGCGAGCTCTTCTTTCTTCTCTTAGTATGTCGTGAAGTTGGCTCCATCAATTTCGGAGAACTGGATAGTGAATTAACTTAGCATGGATGTCGACGCGCGAGTGATGCAACTGTGAAGTGCGGAAAGTTTCCATGAACCCGTACAACAAACGTTACATTCACACGTAGAACTGATCACACTTGAAAGCAAAAATAAAGTGAAGTTAAAAATACTGCACAGTGAAGCCCCAACATTAGGACAATTTGACTGGAATTAAGAAAATCTGCCCCAACATCTTAAACCGCGCATGCACCAACACCAGATCCAAACACTTAAGCTGTCCTGGAAAAATATCTAAAAAACAAAAAACTAAAAATAAAGAATAAAAAAATCGCCGAAGGAAGAAGGAGCACTAGAGAAAAATTCAAGGAGCAACCGTCGCAAACCGGATGGCGCCAAGCAAGAGGCCAATCACAGAGGAGGAAGGAAAAATCGAGGAAGCGGGAACACACGAAGCTACGCGCGAAATTAAAAGTTGATAAAAAGGGGTGAAAACCCAGTAACATTACCCATTCCTGTGTGAAACTTCAGAGTGTTCGAATCGGAGTTTCGCGAGGCGCTTGTGCATTCAAAAACCTGCTGAATTCAGTGATTCCCTTTCTTTAAAAAAGAGTTGCTTTGACTTGTATCTTTCTACTAGTGAAATACAGTATCGTCAATCCATTAGCCCCTAGTAAACGGGGGCAGGCCGGCAACCCGGCTGAGTGCTGTGTTTTTCTTTTTTCTTTGATCTGAAAATCCTCTACTCTTCTTTCGTAAATTCCAACCACTACTTTTCAGTTCACTTCTGTAATTCTTCAATCTTAGTAAAAACTTCAAGTGTTGTCTTTTCTCTAATTCTTTGCTTTGGTCGAGAACTTTAATCTGCGGATAAGATTCTCGGACATAAGCAACATATCTACTAATCTACACAAATGGAAAAATTCATTTTCCTAAATTTTGATATCTCATGAACAAATTGAGCTTCTATAATGATCAAAAATATTCAAGATTAAATGATTTTTTATAAATGCACTAACTCATTATCCAACAAGGTTAATTTTGTGTTTATTTCTTCCGAGTTCTTATCATCATTTCCTGTGCACAATACATGAAAAATGTTTCTTGTTCTTTGTTTTTTGGTTGCCTTGTTGTGCCATAAGGTCAGATTACATTACGTACACTTTTTTCCTACACTGTTATATTTTCTGGATCTTGAAGCTGAGAACAAATGAACAATCATGAGAACAATCCCCCACAAATGAAATGAAATGCATAATTCATTTCATTTCATTTGTGGTGGACCTTTCTTTGATTTTAAAGGAGAATAAATTAAGTGTATTTTCAATGAAGTCCAAGGGAAAACGTGATCTTACATGCATGAGTTTTGACAAATGGACAAGGTCCATGTGCAAATTACGTCTGCATCTTAATATAAGGCCCCACTACAAATATACTTCCAAGTGCTCAATTTTTGCTTTGATTCTACCAGAGCATTGGTCAACAAAAGCACTTATTATTTCAGCAGAGACAAATCACACACAACACCAGAACCACGTTCTGCAAAACACCAACAAACACACGTGAATCCAATGGACCACTTTTCTTGATCATTGCAAAGCCACAAACACAAATCCCAACAATGGAAAATGCTACTTTTAATTGTTTCCACTTTTATTGCAGTTCTGTGACTCACCATAAGCCATGTGGACAAGTATACATTTTTTCATTCTTGCAACACTCATTTTTCTTAAATGTGAACAATCTGCTGGAGATCACAAAACACATGATCCAGATAGGGATGATCCATTTGATTCGGAAAGAGTGAAAATCTTACTCTTTGGCAAAGCTGCTCATGGAAAATCGTCTCTTGCCAACTTCCTCGTGGGTTTGCCTTCTGATGGTGTAGTAGAAGTTGGAGATGAGAATGATGATGACAACATTGTACTGGAAACGTACAAGCCCAAAACAAATCCACGGAAAACACAAAGGAAATTTGAAACACACAAACTTGAGAGGTAAGATATTTTTCCTTCAATTTTGATGAATCTAAATAATGATTGGTTCAACTTTTTTTCAAGCTTTGAAACTTTCTACAAAGATCATGTGTGAATTCTGAAGATGAAATTACTAGAAATTTACCTCCCATCTTGATTGTGTTCTCAATCTTCTGAAAGTTTTTAAGGAATAAAACATTGACTTGAAAGTAGATCACTCTGGAATGCATCTACTGTAACCACATTTTCCCGATTTAATCCCATAGTTCACTCGTTTGCAAGTGGTCTCTTGAATAATTTGAAATTTGCCGCTTTGAAAAATATTTCGTAAACGAGTTTCTGCTCTCTTATTTTCATATTGTCCATTTCAGATTTTGGCAAGCAGATGTCACAAAACCAGTACAAATTGTAGACACAGTTGGTTACGACGGAATCTCAGAAAATGAAATTTTCACTGGCTCCACTGTTGAAGCACTGAAAAAGGAGCGATACTTCCACATGTTCATTTTCATCACAACTGGAAATCTAACCTTCGCAGAAGATGACCACAAGATGTTCAATGTACTCACGCAAACTTTTGGCACCGGTTGGCTGAAAAATGTAGCAGTGATAGTGAGTTCTTACGTCATTGATGGCAACAAGCGGGAGGTTGTCAAAGATGCGGTTTTAAAAAAGTTGAATCCGTTGGTGAACAACGAGCCACCTTTTATTTTCCTGGATCCCCATCACACAGAAAATGATTATAGGGAATCGTTGAGAAAACCTTTGGAGAGGTTCTACGAGAAAATCCATTCCTTTTCACATCGTCCAATTGTGGAACTCGGTTTGGCCGATCACCTTGTCTCAGATTACGCTGAGCGAGAAAATTTCTTCAACGATGAGGTAAATCACCAGCACTCAGCAAAAACTAGGAAAAAAAACCAAAAATAACACAGCAATCTAAGGACATTAAGATTACTCAAAAGTCAGAGAAGAGAGATTCACTGACAAACAATTCAAACCTGTTTTTTCCCTATGATCTATAGAATCTCTAGATTTCCTGCAGACTCATGATTCAAAGTAAAGAAGAACACAGATCCAATATTCATAGTTCTGAAAATTATGTAAAAATAGAGAGAAATTTTGAATTAATCAGATTGGTTTTCTTACATTTTGTGTGGAGAAGACACTGTTTGTATGGGTAGATGTCACTTGCAGTTTCCATTGGTTCTCTTTTTAAACAAAATTTAATTTAAAATTACATTTTGTTTTGCGGTCTTCCTGAAGACAATTAAAATTTTGCTCCAGCAGAACTATCATCAGAGGTTAGCAAAGCATCACAAATAATTTCTAGCAAGTACCCCTTAGCATGATTTGAAGCAGCAACAAAAAGCTGCATTTTATGCTGCACAGTAACATTTTCGACCCATTGATGAAGACAAAAAAAAAATCCTGTTAGAAATACAGGCCCTTTCAAGACAGAACTGTTCCCTCTACAGTATGCAGTATTTGAAACATCGTCAAGTTTTTTAAATTGACGTTTTTAGATTGAAAGACTGGAGGAGGGAAAAGAAATTGATGAGCGAAAGAAAAGAATCATACGCAAGCAAATACAAAGGCTGAGAGACAAACGCATGAGACTTCAACACTCCCTGGACCAAATTGACCATGGATCAATTCACTGGTTGTCTCAGGACCGGGACGAATTATAGATCTACTTGCCTGGTTGGACCAGAAAGAAAGAGAGAGAGAGAGAGAGAGAGAGAGAGAGAGAGAGAGAAAGAGAAAGAGAGAGTTGTTGTTCTTGGGCTGCTATACTGTATGCTGCTGCATGACCAAAGTAGCAAAGCATTATTTTAATGACTGGTTAGGAGCATGACCTAGTGGCTTGTTCCAGTTTGATATATTGGAGCAAAACTGGCAAGCAAGGAGGAGGGAGAGAAGAATTGCCAATTATTTGGCTTCAACAGGAAACAAAATGGCAATTGAGTTTGATCTCTTCAAGGAGTAGAATCTCAGGAAAAGCTGTTGCATTTTTGTGTGTTCTCTCTCTCTGTGTGAATTGTCTTGGAGTGAATATTTTTGTTTTGTATAACTCATTGCCCAGCAGCTGCACTTTTTTGGTTTTGTTTTTTGCTCTGAAGATATTAAATTTATTTTGAAGTGCTCTTTGTAAGAGGTACCTACCTGGCTGCAGAATGGCTGAATCCATGTTCATTTTTTTTAAATTTATTTTGTCAAATTCTTGCCCAAAAAAATGAAGGCCATCAAGTATCCTCTGAGAAGGCAAAGAACTCATATTTGTGTGCTCTGTGTGTGACTTGTCTTGGAGTGCATATTTTCATTTTGCATCAATTGCCACATTGCATTTGGGTTTGGCTATGTTTTTTGCTCTGAAGATATTAATTGTATTTTGAAGGTTCCTCTTTATGAGCTATACCCAGCCACACAATGGCTGAATCCATGCTGTTTAATTCTTTTCTCAATTTATTTTGTCAAACTCTGCCCAACAATTGCTACATTATACATCTGAGGACACACAAAAAGAAAATTATCAGATTTACTGATACATAAATAACACTTACCTGTTAAATGCAAGGTATTTTATTTAATTTTCATCAAAACAGTCAGTAAATCTGAACACTCTTGAAGATACATTCATTTGTGCTTTTTGTTGTAGTGCATTGAGGCTATTTTTCAATAAGTTTGACAAAGACATTGTTTCCAGTCTAATCATTTTTGCATAAGCGAATGCCATTATAAATAGAAAATCTAAGCTTCAAATAAGCTTCAAAATAAACACATTTATTTTGATTTTTAATTCCTTGCTTGGGTTTCATCAGCCTCTTTTCAGAAAAATTAAGATTGTCATATTTTAAGCTGCAGGCGAATTTCATTAGTAAAAAGGGCAGTCATTTTTATTGAAATCAAAATTAATGATCATTTATTGATTAATGTCAGTACTTTTTGCATTGGGCAGCTATACAAGGATAAAATGTTGAACAGAATTACTGGGTTTTGGGAATATGATAGGGTGTAACTTTTTAAATTGCAGTCAGGTCACAGGTAATTCAGACCCAATGTTTCCCCGAAACAGGTTGCCAAGGCAGCAGCTGAGCTGGCAAAAGTGTGGAAAAGGTTCACATACAATGGCCACACGCTACTCATTATATCTTGCCATTAATTTACACTCCACTGCGAGCAGTCCCCGTTTCATCGCAGTCAAACGTGGAAAGGTAAAAAATATGTAAATTAAATCCACGAAACAAATAGCTTTGATCACCAGAAAAACGTTCATCCAGGTAGTTTTAGTGATTATTAATTCTGATTATAAGTTTGAAAAGCCCAATTGTGGGCAGTCAGTCTAGCCCTCGATTCAACAAGCAGGGCTTCTTTTGGCTTGCAAATCCAAATCCAGTCCCTCCAGTTTAATGAAGAATAATTTCCGCAGGTAGACCCAATAATGCAGCCACACTCAAGGTTTTTGCATCAAATTCTTATATTCGGGATGGAAACGCATAAAAAATCCATTCTTGTTAACTACTTTACTTGCTTGGATATACAGTAGCCCCATTGTATGGCCTTAGGGCAATCCAAGTTACCAATTCTGAAGGAAAATGTAAGATTCTGCATGCATGGTACGTCGTCTCTTCCATCATAGAATGGCACAAGTTCAGCAAAGATGACTTAGCTGTCCTATATAACCCTCAGATGGCGGAGGGTTCAGTTCCATCGGGAGGCGAATTCGGGATATTTTCGGGGGATGGAGCATTTCAGTTTGACCCAAGGTCGCTGAAATGCTCCCAGGTTGAGAAGGCCTAAGTCGGAAAAAATCCGGGAGACGAATTCTCTTTTGTTTTCAGGAATCTTCCAGCATGCTGATCCTATACCCAGGAATGCATGAAAAAACGCCACCCAGTGAGGGATTTTTTTCATTTTTCATCCAAAATTTTCTGCAGGATTAGAAAAAAATGCCGGACTTTTTCCCGACTCAGGCCTTGGTACAAAAGTGGCATTTTTTAAATTCCCAGTTCTCAGTGACAGGAAATTTTGCGAATATATCCTGACTTCGCCGCACAAGGGTTATTGCCTGCGGTGTATCATGCAAATGTGACATCTACTGGCAAAGCAAATAAATAATATTCTCCAATAATTCGAATTTCCTCAGCATCCAGGAATCCTGTGAGAGACGCTTTGCCATAATAAGGTTTTGGTGCAGAAATAAATGTCCTCGGCCTCTTGTCACAATTTAAATAGTCGTATTTGATTCCACCAACAACATAAAGAGTCACAAGTCACACAGTAAAAAGGATAGAAGTGCTCTAGTCGAGATCTCGGAGCAAAGTGACGATTGGGGCTCCCTGCTGCTTCCACCTCTCCTCTGGTCCCTCCTTCCGGGAGTTCCGGTTAGAACAGGTGGGTAAGCTGGATGACACGGGAGTCCCGCATGCCTGGATAGATGTCGCTGTAAGGGAGTTCCTTACTCTCCCCCCCCCAAAAAAAATTATCAACCGCGGGAAACTAGACCGCGCTTCAGTACACTCGCGTACGTATGGTCTGGTTTCACCATGGGGGAAGTAGAAATCGCGGGGGAAAAACAATTGTGCTCGCGCAA